TATATATATATATAAACTAGACAAACCTTATGGTTGTACGGCAGTGAAGCATCAGTGGCAACACTGATGTTGCTGTCCTTGATGATGATGACTGGTCATTGCCGTCTTCCTGGATGGGGACCCTGAGACGGGCCACATCAATGTCAAACATGGCCTAGTCACGCCTTCAATGGCGCTTATGAATCCAAGCCACTGCCTTCTGTTGCAAAGCTCACTTCCTAGTTCCCCCGCTTAACAATCCACTGAGTGCTGTAGTTAAGCACCAATTTGTCAGCTCCCGCCTCCAATGCGCAGCTACCTACCTCACCCCACCGAATCATCGGTGAACGAAACTGTGGCAGCTAGAACCACCGTGTGACAAATAAGCGGTTCTACCAGCTGACGATGATGATGGTCTCTCCAACCTGGCAGTATCCCAGCCCTCGTGCTTCCTTCGGGTGGCACGACAGCTTCTGTGGACGGTGACGATGTTTCTGCTGTGCACTTACCACCCAGCGACGGCATCCACGTACATCACCGGTACAGCAGTTGATGGTGAAAAAGATAGCGGCCTAGGTCGAGTTCACATCCACTGTTGCTGCCAGGGGTTCATCATGGACCGACGTGACGGAGATGATAATAAGGATAATCTTAAATGCCTGCACAGTGGTTCTGCCTAAAAGAATACTGCCTCGCGAAAGAGCATAACGAACAACCTCGTATTCTGGTTTTCGCCTGAATCAGGGATGACTAAAATATCCACACAAGCCGTTGTCATCAAACTGCGTTTTGATCAGGACCCAACATAATACGGATGCATGGGGAAATTACTTCGCTGCGCAAGCGAAAAATTTGATGGTACACGACACCAAACGGGGAGATGATATGATATGATATCAATCCGAGTCACTTGGTGTGTACTCCGGAACTTCGTACATGACGAAATTCGTGATCTTCTTAGTGGAGGTAACCTGTGGGCACCGGGAGGTGATTTCCCACATAACACGACAATTTATAGGTTTCATGAATTCATAGACATGTTCCCGAAGGACATTAGGAATGTTAACAGTGCGTCCAAAGTTCACCGAAGCCTGACATGCAATGGGCGAATGCGTGCTCAGTGTTGCGAGGTCAAAAACCACGCACAGCTTAAGCTGTACTTTACTTGCGATTGCTGTTTGATGGCACCACCTACATTACCCGACAGTAAAGCGAATTTCCAGCGACTGACAAACATGACGCGACGTGCGTTGCAAGCGGAGCGGGATAGTGACAGGCGATATCACGATTTCAATCACACACAAAATACAAATATCAAGGGGACACCTGTGAAGCTTAATACTTTGACTCAAAACCTGCGCAGCGGCAAAAAAATCACATGGTGAGTTGCCGAGAATGAGTGTGATACGGCAGGCATAGCTTACAAGTCAGAATACTATTCGACAAAATTGGTGGTTGGCTTTCCCTGATGCGTCAAACATATCTGAAGTGCCATAAGGACTTCGACATGACAGTAATTAAGTGCGACACTGTCAAGGAATTGATGAGTTCCCGCTGAAAGGTGAACCTTGAATATGTTAGTTCTATTTCGTGAAATCAAGTAAGAGATCCCGAGGCTCGCCCACCTCGGAAGATACGGCTTCACCCGAAAGGACGACCCCGATCCGCGTAACATACGAGGGGGATCGCGCCCATACTACTTTAGGGGAAAAATCACCAGATGTACGGAAACGATTACATGAAGGGTGTTAACTGTCAACAGTTTGGACACATAAGGCGTTCGGTTGTAGCACCCTTCCGGTGCCTAGCTGCCATGCCACCCGAAGGAAGCACGAGGGCTGGGATACTGCCAGGTTGCCCAAGCCTAGACAGGGGAAGTCGAGTGGCGGAAGTCAGATTCGAACCACGGACCTTTCGGTCAGTAAATTCGCGCTCTAGCCACTTGGACACAGACCAGAAACCGAACAAGAAACATCAAAACGTCTGTTTGCAAAGTCCTATTATTGCAAGAGGGGACAACTGAATCCATACTTCCTTTCATTAGGGGGAATTTCACTCAATGACAGAGCCAGAGTTCGCCAACCACCATGCTCAGGCATGTTAGGTGGGCATTGTTCACCAGGTTTACCGACACACGCCTTGTACCGAGTTAAATGTCATGTCCACGGATAAGCAGTGGGCCTTCGAATTGGAATCAAAAAGGCATACTGATGCAGCACTGTCCACCGTGAAGAACCGTAGGGACATTCTTAGTACTACTAATGACATTCGCATATCATTAGTTTTCATCCGTGGTTCCGGGGACGCATCTCTCACAGCTGGCCTACTCAAAATAGGGAACTTACAGAAGCAACCCAGGCCTTCCAGAGAACGACTCATATCGTCTCATATAGTAGTCGAAATCAGGACTATATGCATCATCTCGAAGCCCCTTTACTGCATATGGGACGCCAGCCAGATAATCGTAGTGACGCTGCAGTCCATACCGAGCAATTCCACGCGAGGAATACCATGGATGTGCAACATGCCACACCTGGGGGAAAAAGCAACCGACCGAATGGTTGAAGACTTCGATTAGGAGGCACTAAGCACTCATAGCACGAAGCAAATCGATCCCCTATACATCAGGTTTGTCCCCAAGTCGGAAGCGAAGTGAGCATATCGCGATACACGCTGTCAGATATTGGGTTAGAACCGCTAGCCAACCTGTCGCTGCTCAATGGCGGACGGGGCGTCCAATTTTGCGCTCTTCGAAAGCGCGGGGCTCGCTACCCCGTTGGCGGAAGAGGTCATATTTCCAAGCTTTGACAGGATGAGCACCTCAGTTACACGTGGTACGTCTCGATGCTAACCGTTGGTTAACATGGATAAAATAAACAGACTAAGCCCCTACGCTGACCTTTGAGGATTTCTCTAATGAGGTACGGGACGATTAAAACTCACGAAATTAGTAAACCATATATATTTGAGAATTCATTTATCGGTTCGATTTGGCGACTCGCTCCAGTTCGTCCTTCTTCTTGATGGCGTAGGAGTTGGAACTGCCCTAGAGGAGTAGTCAGATAAAGTTTTCAACTTACTTTCGCTGCATTCAAAAGCTCATCCGCCAGGCATTCAGCAATAGTCTTTACATTACGGAATGCCGCTTCGCGGGCTCCAGTGCAAAGGAGATAAATAGCCTGGTTGACACGACGCAGAGGGGAGACGTCAACGGCTTGTCTCCTGACTGTGCCGCCACGACCGATCCTAGTGGAGTCCTCCCGGGCACCGCTATTTAGAATGGCGTTCACGAGAACCTGGATCGGATTCTGGAAACCAAATTTATCAGTTAGTGAGGTAGTGTGAAAGGCATAGGGGGTCAGTAGAAAGTCGAAATCACAGTTCATACGAACGAGACAAAATCATCACATACTTTCAGTTCCCATAACTCACCTCGCCAGACAGTAAGTGTATGATTTCGAATGTATGTTTCAATATATTCAGTGCCTTCAGCTTTTTGCCGTTGTTCCGACCATGCATCATGAGTGAGCAGCATACTCGCTCAATTAACGGACATTGTGCCTTGCGAAACCGCTTAACCTGATATCGACCCGCCGTATGTGGCAGGATGGGATTTCCTTTGCCTTTGACGGTTATGTGGTCCTGAGAGAACCGGTCAACGGCAATCGCAGTGCACCTACCGTAAGACTTAGGTCACTCACACTGACCTCGTCGGCACTCCATTTTCCAAACAATCTTATCTCCGGTTCAGTGTCCAGATAAGTCATCCCGTTTAAGCTGCAAGAGCGCTTTACGACAACTATCAAAGCGATTGACTTACAACGTGCGTCCACTCCCGCTCCAAAAACCAGAAGTGATCCATTAAAACAATCATCCCGTCGACATCTGGCACAGAGTGGATGATAGAGAAACATTGTGTGCAGTTAAAGAAGATTGTATGAGGTATTCAATGGGCGAATGGAATGTGAACATTGTCACTGGAAATGAGGCCGCGTTCGTTCAGAGTTGATTTCGTTTGGGTTAAGCTCCAAAAGCATGCCGATCCAAAGGCGAAAATTAAAGTGAGGCCTCGAGTTAGTGAGTGCCTGGGGTTATATGACTAATTAGGGCAAGGCTTTCATAAAGATATTGGTGCAAGACACATCCATGGGTCGCAAAAGCTAGACAGAGAGTCTAGTTTGAACGAATCAACGTCCTGAGTAGACAACTTGGTTGGCGTACTCCAGGAGCGGTCTGACGTAGGCCGCATAGAGTATTTGGAAGTCCATGCGAGTAATACGGGAGAAGGTGCGTCGGATCATCCTTAAAATGGCGAATGCCTTTTGGGCCGATTTCTCATGGTGTTGTGAGGACAACGGGTTGTTTACTGAGTATTTAAGGCGTGCTGCCAAAGGGAATTCGATTCTTTTACTGGTTATACTGAATCGTGAACACTTGTTCAGCCGTTTCAACTTTTACGGATATTTATATGCTTTTTGAGTCCATGTACGCTCAAATTACATCGTTGCTGCCTGTACGCCCACTTCGGTGCGTTTGAATATCTTTCTTCGGCAGAAAAATGTACGAGTCCACACACTGAGTGTGTTCTTAGTGTATTTCGCAGCTATCCACTGACACTGCACCCAACTTTTAGGACAGAAAAATGTACGAGTCCACACACTGAATGTGTTCTTAGTGTGTTTCGCAGTTATCCACTGACACTGCACCCAACTTTTAGGCGATTATGAACCACTGGGGACGAGCCCATGGGCAGGTGAATGTGGTTACAGTGGATCGATCCAGACCGATCTAGACCGAAGTAAAGCTGAAACGGGAGCTGCGGGACAAAGCGTCCGAGGGAAGCTTTCAGAAGGTGCCTGGTGTACGGTTATTTGAAAGGTGTGTCCGTTCTTGGCGCAGGGTACCGACCTGGGGATTCTGCTGTAGTTTCAGGAAAAATCTTGTGGACATGGCAAATGATATGATTTTCGTAAGCATAAGTAGGAAGTGTTGGAATAACCGTCGTAAAAAGACATCGTGGAGGTTAGATTTAGACGAACACACTGAAATCTGAACGAGCGCACACACGGCACACAATGTACATTATGGAAACCGTGATTTGAAAAGCCCTGAAGCCAAACTGATAGAGCACTGTGGCGGATAAAATGGGAAAATTACGTGACCCTTCTGAGGGGCTGGGGACGTATGCATGTAACCGGGAGGACCGCCGTTCGTACAAACCTTCAGCCGCTTATAGAATTGCGGGAGAAGAATTGAACTGTTAGTTTTATGACTGGAAGATTAGGCAAATACAAAGAGGTAAATGAGGTTTTAAGTGCCGTTTTGTCGCGGTCGATTGGGATAGGCTCCTGATGCGCCAAAAAAGCTTCGAGTCCATCGCCCCCTGTGGAAAAACTGAGTCGATGCACCGTAGTGAGTTTATCGGCGCATAATCGCCTTGAGCCCTCGGAAGGGAACAGAGGGAGCACGTGCCTACCGAGCGCTTTGAATACGTTGGGGTCTATAACTGTCTGTTGTAGAACTGCACTCAGTCCTTGAAATTAAGTGGAAAACGTACCACTAACACAGGAGCTGAGCGTCTGGCCGATGGTGAAACTGGTAAGTGGAGAGATTTTAAGTCCAAAGAACTCATAGATTTGTTCCCTAACATGCATATGGTGTGTCGGTTCAGGAGTAAACAGCGCAATGAGGGGGAGAGCAAATTGGGGGGTCAAGGCAGTGGCGTGATGGGAACGTGTGGCTTTTTATAAACAAAGGTCTGGAAAAGGCGACCGGACAGGCACGAGCGCCTCTGAAGTAAAACGTCAACCGATTCATCCCAGACAGTAGAGCCTTGTTCGCAATGTATGACTTTCAAGGGCCATGTTTATTGAGACCAACATAGGAAACATGTGTGGAGCTATCCGCAATACGCAGTTGTTCGTAACCCAAACTCACGGAATACAGCGAGACTGGAGGAAACCAACGGTGCCCTTGTTTGAGAGGAGCCGGAATGAGAAATTCGTGTAACTGCTGCTAAGGTGCAGGACAAATGAACACCCTAATAAATAATTGAATCCGCGGATAAGACAAGCTGAAAGCTCAACAGAAATACACGATATTAAAAGCTAAGAATATGGTTTGGTGGATCAGTAAGAAGAACCTTGTCCGATAACGTTAGAGATGCGACAATAATCCATTTGCGTAGGCAGGCAACAGTCTGAGAGGAAGAGAAGAAACTATTGAATGTCTGAGGACAGCAGTTCCGGGTGTGCTACCAAATGGGTTTGCCAGTACTGTGTCATCACTGCACTCCCGTTTCTGAGTAGTCTCTTAACGAAAGTCATATTTGTGTTGGCTGGGTGAGTTTGCACAGCTCCACGGCCGGCGCAACGTACATTGTTCAACACAAGGCACATCAGACTGGGTGAGAATCACACGTATTTTCTAGTCTTTCGAGGTCCATGCAGATGGAATGCGAGGTAGGTAGCGACAAGCCACTACCTTCAAAACAGGTGCGGCCGAAATTGGGGGCCCCTCCAGACTCACGCCGTCGTGCCTGTTGGGTCGTCGACCATTCCAGACTCGTTTCTACTACTTTCGTTGCATACGAAAATATGTTCATCAGGCATGCATTTTTAACAGAAGCCGTTCACTGAGAATGATAGAGTAGTTGGCGGAACTTGACGTAGTGTCTTGGCAACTCTAAGCTCAATTCAGTCCTATCTGTTAACTTAAGTGGTTTTGCGGTATTTGGACAACCCTTACGCTGCATGTCCTGGACAATAAGCTTGTCGAAAAATTTGGATGGTTGAGACCTTCAGTACACGTGTTGACGACAAAAGACCTTTCAGCTTTCGGAGTACCTTGTTCGCACTTTTTCCCAATGTCTAGCCGCCCTTTGGCAGCAAGGGATGTCCTCACGTATTCAGAGTTCAGGAATATTATAACTTCCGTCTTGGCCATGTTATATTTTATGCTCTTGCCTATGAACAAATCCAGTGTTTTCATCTTATACTCTATTCATTGTACTTCCTGAAGACCTCAAAATAACTATACTCGTGGGCCTAAGGACGGATAATCTTTTCATGTTATCCAGACACTTCGCACAGGCTTCTCGGAACTTGCTGATTCGGGTTTTTACGGTCACTACATCCACCATATGACCTCCGTGGAACAGCTCATTTAAGTACTTTTGATCCCCTCAAACTTTAAATCTTCCTTCCTATGAAACCAGAAGAAATCCTCTTCTTTAGACCCTCAGGCCTTTATGCCAATACCGTCATCTCTGGAGTGGTTTTCGCCTTCTTCAAGAGAACGCAATGCCGCTTTTCTTCAGGGTGGTGAAGACTTATCCATCTACCTTCAACCAGATACCACAATGGGAAATCAACACCTTTGGGCCTGCCAAGCATTATGAAAATATGCCGTCCGATCATCGTATATAAACAGTGCTTCAACGTGGTTACGCCTAGGACCGGCCAACCAGACCGGTCACTATAGCGTAAACCCTCAGGTCACTCGCGAAGTTCCGAAAAGAACACGTGCCTTGCTGCATGTATCCACGGCCTTTTGGCCGTCATATTATTTCATCCATCCTTGTCGCCGCTTTGAGTTTGATGTAAGCAAGTGAGACGGTTTCGGGCCAACAGGCTCACCGTTCTAACCATAAAGGAAATAATCGATCCTCCTGATAGAACCTTAGAATGTTCGGGATTATGGTAAACAAAACATCCGGGGATTAACCGGTAAAATCTTGAGCGCTGATACTCCGGGCGAACGCGTGCCGAAGGGCTGGTAGCCTCTTGCATATCGGACCAGGTTAACGGATTAGCAATGAGATTGAATTAAAACACACTGTGAACGAATGGTTAATAATTTATCTTAGTAAAGAATTTAGGATGGTCTCACCCAGCGGTAGGTAAAGAGGTGGCTCCTAGGAACACACACGCAGTGAATGCCCAGCAACAGCTGCGTAGCTGTTGCAGTGTTTTTTATCAAGTCGAGCGGGGCTGGAAAACAGTTCCTTCAGTTGATGAAAGAATAAAACTGACCATCATGTTTGATATCAACCCCGGTGACATGGAGGGGCATTCGTTACAACGCCATAGTAATAATAATAATAATAAGGTTCATTCCCAACTTGTTTGTGACATGCCGTCTGGCATGATCATAGATTTAGTCAGAATGGAGCATGACCGGGGGATTTGTGGGGGTGCGGATTGCACAAAAAAGGATACTGTCATGAATACCCTATGATATAGTAATAATAGATTATTTCCCAACTTGTTGGGAACAATGGGCATGACGTCCGACTAGTTCAAAGCAGTCAGGTGGCATGAACTAAAACGCAAAACCATTGCTGGCAATGAGTGACCTTGGGTGGTTAGGTAAATGGCCGGAGTCACAAAAAAGTGGAGATGGAGATGGGATAATTCAAATGGGAGCACATGGCATGTTTTTTCCAAAGAATGTGGTTTATTCTGAAGGTAAGCAGACTCACTAGTTGCACTGTTGTAGGGAAGTAGGGTGAAGGGAATAGGTTGGATGGGGGCAATTCGCTAATACATAGGGCGACCTGAACTCCCTATGCGGACTTGAACTTGTGCAACAAGCAAGTCGAAATTGCAGTAGGAAAGCCAGGCTAGCCAAATCTGAGCGAAAATTTATTATGTACGGAAGAGTTCATCGCACAGACGTGGCCAGATGGGAACTGCTCGAAGTTGTGGCTACAGGCTTGATCGGGCGAGGGGTTGCGGTCGAGATTCTGGAGAAAATGGTTGCGGGA